GGGAGTGGGCACTGGGCAGTGGGCCATGGGTGGTGGGCACTGGGTGGTGGGCACTGGGTGGTGGGCACTGGGTGGTGGGTACTGGGTGGTGGGTACTGGGTGGTGGGCACTGGGCGGTGGGCACTGGACGGTGGGCACTGGGCCGCGGGGGTTCTTACCTGCATCCTCTGGAGCTCGCTGTGCGTGAAGATGGGAACGAAGGCTTCCGTCTGGGAGGCCAGCAGAGCGGCGACGTGAACCACCAGCAGGGCAGCCAGGGCCTTGCGGGACACCATCCTGGAGCTGGGCGACAGGGGCTCCTGTCACTGGTGGGGGCAGTGATGGGCGGCTGCACTGGAGGTGGGAGCACTGGTCCAGGCCCCGCCTGGGCTGTGTGACCCTGACACCTGCCCAGCCTCTGTGACAGGGCCTGCGTGGGGCTTTACCAGGTGAGTTTAGGCCTCTCTCTTCCCCAGAGCCCTGAGAGCTGACCACGCACCCGGCGAGGCCGCCTGGCCCCTGCCCACACCAGGGCAGACTCATCCCACGTGGGCCCTTCTTGTTATAGGTGAGGAATGCTGGGGCCCCAGAGGCTCTTGGTGTGGGAGGGACCTCGTGTCTCAGAGAAAAAAAACCCTAGATACTCACAGAACCATGCCGAGGCCTGGGGAACTCACCCCCTGAGCCCATCAAGGTGTGGGAGGGATGGACCAGGCCCAGATGCCCAGCTCTACTCCAGGGCTCGAGGGAAAAGCACTGAGACCTGCCCAGTGGAGGCAGAGCCAGACAGAGCCAGGGTGGGTCCCCACCCGCTGGGCGGCACTAGCTCTGGAACCAGCCCCTGCCCAGCTCCTGAAGCAGCTGCCTGTTCACTGTCATGGGAAACAACAGGGGTACCCCTCCCTGCAAGCTGCCACCCCACACCTCCTGGGGCCCCTCTCGCATCCAGGAAGTGGCTTTGTCTGGAATGTGGGCAGGAGGGTGGGCTGCAGAGACCTGGCAGGGAGCAGTGGGCGTGGGGGCCATGGGACTGAGACAGGGCTCAGAGGCTGGGCGGGCAGGGCCGGCCAGGAGGGCCCAGGGAGGAGGATGTGGTCTGCTTGCTGGGTGCCCCTGGTTGATTCCTTCCTTGCCCTCCCGAGTGATCCTCACACCCACCTGGGAGCAGGTGTGACCTGGGGAAGGAGGAGACGTGGGGAGGTGGAGGGACTGGGGCGGGGGGCAGGCTGGAGCCTGGCCTTCTGAGGCCGGTGCTTTCCCCAGTCCCCACCGCATGTTGCCTCTGGCCACAGAAGGCAGGGAGGGGCCTTCCGGGCCAGGCCTGCGGACTGGACTCCTGGCACCAGTGTTCCTATGCTGGGTGGGCTGCCAGGCCCCCAGACAGGGAGGGGTTTCAGATAATGAGTTGCATGGTATTGTATTAGAAATGAACTACTTGCCCTTTAAAATAACACTGGATACTAATGGCATGCAAGATTCCCACAATTTTCTC